AACCAAAGCTGGAGGCTACGAACTCGTTCCCTCAGAATTGTGGAAATTGGAACTAGTTGAGGAACGAGTCTTTCTTCCTGAAAACATGTTTGAAGATCTTCAAAGAAAGTGGAGAGAAAAATTTCTTGAATAAGTTATAGAAGGTGGAGTAAAGAATTCAAAATTTTACTCCATATACTTCTAGGAAAGGATTTTACTATTCACCTTTGGACTTTTGGCCATTAAAGTTCCGCCTAATTCTACCAAACTCGCCAAACAAGCTCAATCCACTCGTAAGAACCTTACGATACTTACGAGCTGGGGGGCTAACTGTTGGGGTCAAAATCGGTACGACGGAATTAATAGCCAAAACTCCCCGCAAAAATATAAAAGGAATAGTTTTATAAAACCCGAAGAGTCATTTTATAAAACTCGAGAAGCCGTTTTATAAAACCCGAAGATCGTTTTATAAAGCTCGAGAATCGTTTTATAAAAATCGAGAAGCCGTTTTATAAAACCCGACGGTCGTTTTATAAAACTCGAGAAATCGTTTTATAAAACTCGAAAATCGTTTTATAAAACTCGAGAATTGTTTTATAAAACTCGAGAAGCCGTTTTATAAAACCCGAAGATCGTTTTATAAAACTCGAGAAGCCGTTTTATAAAACCCGAACATCGTTTTATAAAACTCGAGAATCGTTTTACAAAACCGCAAAAAACCGAAAAAGCCATAAAACGCGAACTAGTCACGACTAGTTCGCCCACGGGCGAACTAAACCGAGCCGGCTTAGTTCGCCAATGGGCGAACTAGGAGACACTCGACTAGTTCGCCCATTGGCGAACTAAGCTGGCCCGGCTTAGTACGCCAATGGGCGAACTAGGAGATGCTCAACTAGTTCGCCCATTGGCGAACTAAGCTGGCCCGGCTTAGTTCGCCAATGGGCGAACTAGGAGATGCTCAACAAGTTCGCTCATTGGCGAACTAAGCTGGCCCGGCTTAGTTCGCCAATGGTCGAACTAGGAGATG